TGTGCTCTTAGGGTCTTGTCGCCTTGGGGCGTTAGGGTATTAGGGTATCAGGATATGAGGTTTGTGCTGTCTTCAGGTACTAGGGTTTTAGGGCTTTAGGGTAGTGGCGAACTTGGGTCGTATGGTACTCGAGGTTGAGTTCAATAAGGGATTAGGGCACTAGGTGGTGAGGGTCTCAGGGTCTTAGCATCTTAGGTTTTTAGGGCTTCAGGGTCCTAGGGCATCAGGGTGTTAGTGGATTCTGGTCTGAGGGGCATTCGGGCGTTAGGGTATTAGGGTTTCACGGATTAGCGTATTATGGCCTTAGGGTTTCGGGCGTTTGGGTTTTAGGGTAGTCGGGCGTTCGTGCATTAAGGTATTCACGCATCAAGGTGTTAGGGTTTTAGGGTTTAGGGTACTAGGGTCTTCGGGCGTTGGGGTCTTAGTGAAGCAGGGCGTTAGGCGGGCATTAGGGTTCTAGGATCTCCGGGTATTAGGGTCTCAGGGTTTTGTATTGGGGCTTCCTGGTGTTAGGGTCTCAGAGACTTCGTACATGCGCACCCGGCTGACCTGCCAGCCTTCAGAATTCGAGCTTGGCCGAATTCGCGCCCGGCCGAACTCGTACCCTGCCAAATTCGCACCCCGCCGAATTCGCATTTGGCGATTCATGCACTCACCTGGCATGGCCTCCTTCAGAGGCAGGACAACTCGCACCTGGCCGAGCTTGCATCCGGCCGAACTCGCACCCTGCCGAATTCTACCCGACGGCTCTGGTACTCTCCCTCGGCTTGGCCTCTTACGGAGGCAGGAAAATTCGCGCTTGGCCGAACTCGCGCTGGGCCGAACTCGCACACGGCCGAATTCGCTCCCGGCCGAATCCGCACCCGGCCGAGCTCGCACTGGCCGCGCTCTTTAGGCGGCCGTTTTATGATCGGGCGGCGAACGCACAAACCAGGACGCAACCAAGAGTCGGAAGCTGGGCGAGGGCTGCTAAAACCGTGGCTGCTAAAACGGCCCTCCCGGAAGGAAAAAAACAACTTCCCGGAATGAGGCGCGGCACGCGAAACAGACAATGGGTTTCTTCCCGGAAGGACGAAGACAATTTCCCGGAGGTCGATTTCAGCAGCCACGGATTTAGCAGCCCTGGCCCGGCTTCCGAAGGAGGACGCCGACATGTGCTCCAAGATGCGTAGGGGGCTACGCCCAGCACACACTCGCCGTGCGGCTCGGCGGTGGGGCCTGCGCCCGCGAGCTGGTCTTGGAACTAACCGATGGTTGAATGACACTTGGCTCTCCCATTAGATCTCTTTTGACCGACGGTCTCACGGCCTCCTCCACTTCCTCCTCCTCCTCCTACTCCTCCTGCTCCTCCTGCTCCTTTTCCAAATCCCACCACCCCGTTTGATCTACAGTCCAAACTGTTATCCCTTCGTTGCAGTCCCCCCGCTTCGTCAATCCCAGTCCTCTGCGTCTTCATCCTTCGCAGTTCCTTCTCACGCTAACTCCGTTTCCCCCCCTCCCCTTGTACTCTTCCTGCTGCTGCTGCTGCTGCTGCTGCTGCTGCTGCTGCTGCTGCTGTTGCTGCTGCTGTTGCTGCTGGTGCTGCTCTTCATGTTCCCTTTCCTTTTCCTTCCTCAGGCTCCTCAAAACTCTGCGCTCCAAGATGCAATTCTCCAGGTGATCAGCTTCGTTTCGCTTCAGATGTCCTCGGACCTCCAGGCTTCCAGCTGCCCTAACTTGAGGTGTGTTTGCCCGTTCGGCGGTCGCCAGCGACAAGGAGGTCGCGCGGGCGCGTGGCCGCGTGACCTCGGGCGCGGGCAGGTCCGAGTTCAGCGGACAGCTGAACTCGGACCCGGCTGAACTCGGGCCCAGCTGAATTTGGACCCGGTTGATCCCGATGAATTTGGATTTGGTTGGTCTCAGACTTGGCTGAACTCTTACTTGGCTGAGCTCGGCCCCGGCTGCACTCGGATCTGGCTTTTCTCGGACCTGGCTGAACTCGGACCCGACTGAATTCGGACCCGGGCGTTTTCTTTGCAGCGCGGGATTCGGTCTGAGTTCATTTGCGTCTGAGTTCAGCTGGGGCCGAGGTCAGTTGGATCCGAGTTCAGTTGGGCCTGAGTTCAGTTGGGTCCAAGTCCAGCCTGGGTCCAATCTTCTGGGTCCGAGAGCTGGGTCCAAGTTCAGCCTGGGTCCGAATTCAGTTGGGTCCGAGTTCAGCCCAGGTCCGAGTTCAGCTGGGTCCGAGTTCAGTTGGGTCCAAGTTCAACTGGTGACCATGACATCAGGTCCGTAGCCATTTTGGCTCAAGTGGCCATATATCGAGGCAGCTGGCCAGGTCAGCTCGGGCCTGTCTTCAGGCTCGGCCCTCGACACAAGGGCTTGGGGGCAGGCCCTTTTGGCACAACCTCATCCAGTCTCACTTTCGCAAGTTGTGAGTTCAGAGTCACCCGCGCAGCCATGGGAGATGCCGCGCCTGAGTGGTTCTCGGCCTTCGTCACAGGACAGTTCGCTGCATTGACGAAGACGGTCACAGACACGAACAGCCAGCTGAAGGGCCAGATCAAACAACTGGACGGACGGATGGCGGCAGTCGGCAGCAAACTACAGCAAATGGAGAGACGCATCCAGGCTTCAGAAGAAGCTATGAAGACAGCATCAGTGACAGCCTCCAGCACGCTTGGCACAGACAGGACGAAGCGGGCTAGGGTGGGTATGGCAACTGGGACAGACACCAGCGATTCATGTAGAATGTGGGCGAGTGGATATCCACGCGCTGTTCTTGCTGCCACGAGACAGACGACCTGGCAGCAGCTCCAGCAAGGAGCACCGAGCCACCTCATGGACGGCACCAGAGCGCATTTTGCAAAAACGAGTCAAAGCTTCTCCATCCACTTCAAGAATGAGGACACGGCAAAGAAATTCAAAGAATGGTTCATCCAGCAGCAGCTTCAATGGAAGGATGCTCGAGACGGATCATGTCATGCTCTACGCATTCGCACCGACCTCCCAGATGACGTCCGCCATCGACAGAGACGCATGTCACATTTATGGGCGCCGATCGTTCAGTTCTTGAAGAATAACAACAAGTACCAAGCCGACTACAAGATCGGCGCAAACGGGCTCCGCAACGAGTTCTTCATTCGCACATCCGATGACTTGTTCATATTGGCAAAAGGTGAACAGGACGGGCTCGGCAGGCTGGTGCTCAAGCCCAACAAGAGCGACCTCGCCTTCTGGGGCATTCCCGTAGACCAGATGCAGCAGTGGATTGACGGATGTGGCAGTGCACGCTGATGGTCTCCGACGCCAGCTTCTTCGGTGGCACCCTGCGCGGGGACGACAGCGGACATTGCCACAAACACAAACTCGCGGATCACATGCTCATCGTCTTCATGCTCCTCGTCCACGTCGATCGCCTCTTCTTCCTGCTCTTCTGGCTCTGTTCACGATCTGGCTAGCCAGCCAGACGATCGCCTTTTTTGCAGCCGCTGCCGCCTCTGACTGTTCCCGACTGGCCCTGTGGCCAGCATGCAGTGCACCAGCAGCCTTTTCTCCCCTACTCCTCGCTTGTCGTTTCCTGGAATGCGCCTGGTCTCTTCGGCTCGGCGCGGACCCGTCGCCAGATGAATGCCTCGACTAGATACAAGAAATTCCTCGGACTCTGTAAGCGCCAAAAAAACTGGTGACCATGACATCAGGCACAGAGGCCAGCGTGCAAGCATGAACGTTGGGGAGAAAGTTGTTGGACAAGCAGGCTGGCGGCTATGCGCTCAGGGCAGCACGCAAGCAGGCAAGCGAGTTGCATATGTTGCATGTGAACTGATCGTCCTGCATGCAACTCCACTGGTCAGCCCTAGTCTATACTCCATTGCAGGGCCACGCGCGTAAACGTCCTGTCTTGAGTGAGAGTCCGCCCCCGCTCCCCCCTGCGACCTCGGAGGCCCCGTCAAGAGTCTGATGCGCTCGAAGAGGGCGCCAGGATGCCACCAGATGCCGCCACGGCGACCCTAGCAGGTCCAGGATAGCAATCCGTAGGGCTCGAAATGGCAGAGATTGGCTTCAAGAGCGGCCTGAAGTGCACCAAGGGGCCCCATGAGAGGAGCCCCAGACAGGCCCAGGAGGCCCCAAGGTGGCCCAAAGCCCCAAGCTGGCTCCAGGATGGCCTTACGGAGCTCCAGACGGCCCCAGACGGTTTCAAAAGAAGCTTCCTATACCCCTAAGAGACCCCGAGAGGCCCCCAGGAGGCTTCCCCCCAGAGACTCCCGAGGGCTCCGACGAGACTCCGCAGAGACACATGGGAGCGCTTTCAAACGGTCCAACTGCTCCGCGAGAGGCCTCTGCGATGGCCCAAAGCTCGCTTCTTGGACGCCCCAGTGAACGCTGCGGCAACCGGCACCAAGCATCAGCAAGTGGCAGGAGGCGACAAGGTGCGGACGCACAAATAATGAAGCAAGCGACCAGGAGGCATGCGATTCGGCCAAAAGCAATCAGCTCACGAGTGTAGCCGCCACGACAGCAGTGCAGCAGACGGGCACACCGACCGGCAGCGAGCGATCCCGACCAGACCACGGAGCCCCCCCGCGGCCCCCCCAGGCTCCCTGACGCTCTCCCAGGCCCGTCACTCATCACCCCTCTATCATCGCTCCTTGCTCTTCTCGTAGCTCGTTCCTCTCCTTTTTTGTTTGTTTATGTGTATATCTATATATATATATATATTATGGCCCCTCGCTCCTCGCTTCTGGCTACTCATTCCTTCTTCCTCCCTCCGTGCATCTCCCTCTTACCAGCCCCACGCGGCCCCACGAGAGCTTCAAGAGCGCCCCAGGGAGCCCGGTGACGGCTACTTATTCACTCCTGATTCATCCTTGCGCACTCTTTGTTCGTCTCTCCCTTCTCGCTGCTTGGGCCTCGAGAGCGACATCAATATGAATGACGTTCGGCAGCTTGTCCGCAATCACATCACATGCCACTTTCGGTCAAGTTGCGTAGACGGTGTTCTACGGCTCAGCCCTGGTCAGCTACAACTCTGCGACCAGCGCATGCGAGAAAGGCGGGCAGTGGCAGCGGGCTCTGGCATTGCTGAGCGAGATGTGGGAAGCGAAAATCGAGCCCGACCTCACTCTGTGCTACACTTCTGGGCGTTGCGCGTGCGAGATGCGCCAGCAGTGCGCCAGCTGCCCCCGACCGCCGGGAGCGCCCAGCCGCTCTCCGACGGCTCCAGAGAGCCCCCCGGTGGCCCCAAGACGGCTCCTGACAGCCCCAAGACAGCTCTGAGACGCTCCGCGCGCGTAAGAGCGGCCCAAGAGGACCCGAACAGAGCCCCATGACAGCCCAACACGGCCCGACGACGGGCCAGGTGCCTCGGAAAACGGCGGAACCGGACCCCGATGGCAGTCCCCCGAGGCCAAAATCATAGGTTTGCCGTCGGTGTTTGAGGTTTCCCGTGTCCTCGCCAGTTCGGCCCAAGAATGGCCCCAGACGGCTCCAGGATCGCCCCAGGGCGGTCCAGGAGGCCCCGCCGAGTGCCCCAGGACGGCCCCAGAGGGCCCGAAGGTTGCCCAGGAGAAGCCCAAGAGGCCCCCCGAGACGGCCCAAGAAAGCCCCGAAAGTGCCAAGAGGACCCCCAGTTGTTCGAGGGAGAGACCCCCACGAGGGGCCGAAGGGAGCGCAGACGACGCCGTTCCCGCAGCCCCCAATGGGCCAATCGATGATCCTCAGGACGTGTGTTAGCCCAATGTGTGTTTACCCCGTTCAACCCAATCAGTCGATCATCACATCGCCTTAGTCGTAGTGAAGGGCCTCACTGGGCAAACACACGTAGCCAAGAACCCTCCAAGGACCACTCCCACGTACCCCAGAGTCTGCGAAGAGACTCCGATGATTCCCAAAGAGCTCCTAAAGAGAGTGCCTCGAGCCACGACACCCTTTCGCCGGCTCTCGAACCCCAAACGCCCCCCAAAAAAGCCCCAGACCCCCAAGGCAGGCCCCAGACCACTCCGAGATGCCCCAGAACCTTTCAAGAGATTCCATAGTCCCCACAGAGCTCCCAGGAGCGGTCCCAGGGCCACTCCGAGATGCCCCAGAGTCGCTAAGAAGATTGCGATGCTTGCCAAGAGGCTCCGACAGTTCCCAAGGAGCTCCCAAGAGCGGTCCCAGGAAGAGACCCCCATAGTTTCCACGGAGCTCCCAAGAGCGGTCCCAGAAAGAGACTCCCATAGTTCACACGGATCTCTCAAGAGCGCTCCCAGGACCACTCCGAGATGGCCCAGAGTCGCCCTCAAGACCTCCATCCCTACGGCCGATTACTGGTGACAGGGGGGACATTCACCTCCTTCCCTCATCGAGGCTCCAGCCGCTCTGGAGCCTCCTCTCCGCCTGTTAGGGGTGACAGGGGTGACCTGCAGCCACTTCGGTCGGTCCCCTTCTACGTCCGATCAGGAGTGACAGGGGGGGACCTGCAGACACTGCGGGGACCAGCATCTCGCTCCCCCCCTACGGCCGAGTAGAGCACTTGGGGGCCCCCAAGACAGCCCCAAGACCACGAGATCCCTCCTGGACCACTCCGAGGATATTCGAAGACAGCCTCCGGCCCCGGCTCCCAGAGCCTGCTCCAAACCTTGCAGCTAACCTCATGGGTGACAGGGGGGACATTTCGACAGCAACCACACAGCAGGCACGCACAAGAAGTTTCCTGGGCTGTCCCCCAGAAGAGGCTTTGGGGGACAGCCACTGAACGGCCCTAGAGGCGCCCAAAACCGCAAGGGGCCTTCAAGACGCCCCAGACAGGCTCGCAGGAGGGCCCGACATGCCCCCGACACGGCCACAGGGACGACCGAGCTGTTCAACTTCGACGAGCTGTTCACCCACGGTGTGCGAGTCCCAGCTTGAGCAATCCACGTGTTCACACAAGTCAGCTACAACTCTGGGGTCAGCGCGTGCGAGAAAGGCGAGCAGTGGCAGCGGGCGCTGGCGCTGCTCAGCGACTTGTGCGAGGCGAAATTGGAGCCCAACGTCATCAATCCTACATGGTCGGTACCGGCGCGTGCCAGAAGTGTGGGGGCTCAAGGGGCTCAAGTGACCAAAATTGCCCCGGTGGGCCCCAGCAGGCTCCGAGACAGTCCAAGATGGCCCGAGATGCCTCCAGACGGCCCAACAGGGCGCCAAGACGGTCCAAGGTGCCTCCAATAGGCACCCCCAAGAGGGCCCCGAGAAGCCCAAATCATTGGTTTTCCCTCGGTGTGTCCCTAATTTGAACGCTCTCGCCTTTTCGTGCTTACGACGCTCCAAGACGGCCCAAGAGGCCCCCAAGATCGCCCCAACACGGCCCAGCAGGCTCCAACTAGCAAGCCAGCAAGCAAGCAAGCAGCAAGCATGCCAGCCAGCCAGCAAAAGCAAGCAGAAAGCAAGCAATTACTCCGACGGAAGGGCCCTATATGAGAATATATGTAGCTTGCCCCTTGTCCTCTTCGCCCTGGCGTAGGCCCTCCTCCCGCCATCTGCTGCGCCTCCTCCTCCTCCTCCTCCTCCTCCTCCTCCGCCTCCGCCTCCTTCTCCTCCTCCTCCTCCTCCTCGTCCGTTTCTTCCTCCTCATCCTCCTCGTCCTCCTCCTCCTCAACCTCCTCCTCTTCCTCCTCCTCCTCCTCCTCCTCCTCCTCCTCCTTCTCATCATCATCATCATCATCATCATCATCATCATCATCATCATCATCATCATCATCATCATCATCATCATCATCATCATCCTCATCCTCATCCTCATCCTTTTCCTCCTCCTCCTCGTCCTCCACCTCTTCCTTCTCCTCCTCCTCCCTCCTCCCTCTCCTCATCTCCATCCCGCCTGTTCTCCTCATGCACCTTGCCTCCCTTCTGGCCGGGCCACGCATGCCGTTGCTCCTCGGCACCCTCGCCGCCACGGCCAGAAGGGGCGCGTTCTCCGATGGCCAGTAGATGTTTTCGATGTCCCGTTCGGATTGCCTTCGTGTAGCGCGGGCCCCATAGGGAGGGGGCTCCAGCCTGAGACTTCCTCGCAATTGTTGATGCTTCGCGTATCCCCACCAGTCGCCCGCGTGGACTGGGAGCGGTCCGCGGCGCTCCAGGTGCTGGGCTACGGCATGGTGCAGCCTGGCGCGCCACCCCCCTCCGGCACCACCTGGGGCCGGACCTGAGGTGCGAGCTGCCCCGTCAAGTGGTTCATCCTTTGGCAGGTCGCCGTTGTTCCCCCATCAGGTCCGCCCCTGCTACCTCGGTTGACGCTCGCATTTTGCTGCCCTGTCCCCCGTGACGGATAAGCTGCCCGCGTTGTACGCCGACAACTTGGTCGTCTCGCTTCCCACGGCGGGCGCCGCCTTCGAGCTCCTGCTATTGCACAAGTGGTATATCCTTTGGCAGTGCTTCTCGGCCCTCCCGCAGGGTGGTCCGTGGTGCTCGACCCATGCTTGCAGCTGTATCCCCCCGGCTTTCAAGTCAGGCTGTTGCAGGTTGTGGACTCGGAAGACAGGGACGGAAGACTGGGACGACTTTCCTGCATAGGTCGGTCGCTCATGCCCGAGCACTTCCAGGAGTCCTTGTGAGTGAGGCGTTCCTCGGTTCCCCCCCACTTCTGTCCTCGTGTGCCCTCGCGCCCGCCGCCTTTCCCCGCTCCTTCGCCTCCTCGTCGTGTTGGACGGTGCGGCCTCAGTGGCCCTCCGTGCTGCCACAGCGCGGCGTGACCCACGCCCTTACGCGCTGGTCGGTACGGACTGAGCAGGCGCCACTGTGCAACTTCTCCTCCGTCAGTTTCCTTCGGATGCCCGCGTCCCTGCTTCCGGGTCGCCCGCATCTTAATGGGGGACATTTTGTCCCTGGCACGTGCACTTGCTGCGTCGGCCTATGCGCCGTCGTTGCTAATTATCTCGCCCTGTGCCCCAGCCGAGACCGTCCCGCTTCCTGGATCTGTCCTTGTGAGCCGCCAATCAAAAAAAGTATCCCCACCAGATGCGGTGCTTGCGCCTGTCAGGCGTCGGCCATTCGAATTTGGTCATTTTGTCCAGTGCACGCGCCCGTGCTAACATTATGTTTAGCCAATTCGCCTAGCTCGCGTCCCGGACTTTGCTCTCGCCGCCTGACCGTCGTCTTCGCGGCCGCGACCGAAAATTACCCTGTGACGTACCCAACCCATTTGTATCAATGGAAACAAGGAGTTGGCCGAAACTTGCATGGACAATCAACTTGATGTGTAAGTTGCTTGGGACACGCGCCTATGGCATGATGCGCAGGAGAACCATACAAGGACGAGGGGCGACAGCTACAGGCTCGAAGAGGACATGGGGAGTCGGGAACGCAGAGCAGGAGAAAAACGCGCGGGAAGCCGAACCATCAGCACGGCAGCAGCAGAGGGAAGGTGACTGCAGGAGGAGAACAAGGACGAAAGCGGCGTCTAATTTGAGTCTGCGGTGGGTACCCACTGTGCTGTGCCCCTCAGCAGCCCTCGAAAGTGGCGACAGTTTCACAGATCGCAGCCCCCCAGGGATGGCGAGGTCTAATTTGAGTCTGCGGTGGGTACCCACTGTGCTGGGCCCCCCAGCAGGCCTCGAAAGTGGCGACAGTTTCACAGATCGCAGCCCCCCAGGGATGGCGAGGTCTAATTTGAGTCCGCGGTGGGCCCACTGTGCTGGGCCCCCCAGCAGGCCTCGAAAGTGGCGACAGTTTCACAGATCGCAGCCCCCCAGGGATGGCGAGGTCTAATTTGAATCCGCGGTGGGCCCACTGTGCTGGGCCCCCCAGCAGGCCTCGAAAGTGGCGACAGTTTCACAGATCGCAGCCCCCCAGGGATGGCGAGGTCTAATTTGAATCTGCGGTGGGCCCACTGTGCTGGGCCCCCCAGCAGCCTCGAAAGTGGCGACAGTTTCACAGATCGCAGCCCCCCAGGGATGGCGAGGTCTAATTTGAGTCTGCGGTGGGTACCCACTGTGCTGGGCCCCCCAGCAGCCCTCGAAAGTGGCGACAGTTTCACAGATCGCAGCCCCCCAGGGATGGCGAGGTCTAATTTGATCTTGTCTACCCACTGTGCTGGGCCCCCCAGCAGCCTCGAAAGTGGCGACAGTTTCACAGATCGCAGCCCCCCAGGGATGGCGAGGTCTAATTTGAGTCTGCGGTGGGTACACTGTGCTGGGCCCCCCAGCAGCCTCGAAAGTGGCGACAGTTTCACAGATCGCAGCCCCCCAGGGATGGCGAGGTCTATTTGAGTCTGCGGTGGGTACCCACTGTGCTGGGCCCCCCAGCAGCCTCGAAAGTGGCGACAGTTTCACAGATCGCAGCCCCCCAGGGATGGCGAGGTCTAATTTGAGTCTGCGGTGGGTACCCACTGTGCTGGGCCCCCCAGCAGCCTCGAAAGTGGCGACAGTTTCACAGATCGCAGCCCCCCAGGGATGGCGAGGTCTAATTTGAGTCCGCGGTGGGTACCCACTGTGCTGGGCCCCCCAGCAGCCCTCGAAAGTGGCGACAGTTTCACAGATCGCAGCCCCCCAAGAATGGCGAGGTCAAAGGCAGGGGGGAAGAGGGACGGGAAGGAAGGAAGGAAAAGGAAGGAAGGAAGGAAGGAAGGAGACGCGCGAGCAGTGCTCTATTTAAAACGAGAACCCAACGCAGGAGGGTTGGGAAAAAAGTATCCCCACCAGTCCGTACCCCCTGGTTCGAGGCCGTCTGGTGGGCCTGCCCCCTCTGGGGCAGTCTCCCACCGCTCAAGGGGGCGCCCGTACGCTGCGCGTCGGGCGCGCGGTCCTGGGTTCCCTCTGGTCCTCCGGTGCGCGCCCGCCATACCGACAGCGGCGCCGCTCCCTGGCAGCGGCGCAGACAGGCAGCGCGGGCCTCAGTCTCACGGAGGATCACTCGGACGACGGCGCGGGGGGCGGGGATCGTTCAGTGCAGAGCTTGAGGGCTGCACTGACTCAGACCGTTTCTCCCCCCAGATCCCAGCCAGACCCAGATCCCCCCTGGACAACCCTCCCCCCTGGCCTGCGTGGCAGATCAGGATCCAGACCTGGCGACGACAAGGAGACAACAATTCAAAACGGCCGTCAGCCGTGACCCTGGTTCCCCACGGGGACCATCGGAGGTGTCGGCCACGAGCCTGCAACCCTGATGGGGACAGATCTTCAAGAACCCAAGCGGCCGTCAGCCGCACCCCTGGTGAACAGACGCCGACAATAGCCCAGACGGCCGTCAGCCGTCACCCTGGACTTCCCTCCGAGCTCGGAGCGGAAGAGGCCCAAGGCCACCATGGGTCGCATATTGACAGAGGAACACGGGCGGCCGTCAGCCGCACCCTTGACACTCCCTCCCCGAGCGGACCCGCCGAGCTTGCCGCTGGCAGGGACAGAGGCAGCTCTCCCAGAGACAGCTCGGAGCACGCTGGCCTCCCAGAAGGCGCCGCGCCCAGCAACTGCAGCGGGCAAGGCCCTGGCAGCCCCGGGGACCTCCTGGCCTCCGCCCTCCCGCCTCCCTCACCGATCCTCCTCAGCTCCTCCTCAGCGACGGTCGCCCCCGTAGGGGTAGTCGGATTCGAGAGAGAACAAAATCAGGCGGCCGTCAGCCGCACCCCTGGCATCCCCACACTCCCAAGCGGACAGCCGGCTTCAGCCGCAAGGCGGAACATCGGTCCAGTTTCGTGGCACAGGCTGACGTAAGTGGCCCCACGGGGGGCAGGGGATCGCATGATGAGCGCGAGGGGGCGTCCAGGGCACCTAGAGAGCCGACGGCTAACAGCTGAGAGCAAGCTGCGTCGCGGAGCCGCACCCCTGGCTACGGGGCCCGACCCAACGAGCAGGCAGCCGTCAGCTGCACCCTTGGCAGTCCCACCCTCCCAGGCGAGCAGGTAGCCTGCTGCCTGGAGCGGGGCATTCCCTCGGGAAAGGGGGGCAGATGACACTTTCAGCAATGGTGCGACGACGGGACCCCTGGTATGGACAGCACGATGAATGAAAGTGCTGCCCGGCTAGACAGCTCTGACCTGGACAGACCGGGGGGGGCGGACGAGGGCCCAGCGCCAGCAGTGTCGACAGCTCCAGGAAGCAGCGGACCAAGGCACACCCCAGGGGAGGCTGAAGCCAATAGGCAGCTTCAGTCTCCGGCGCACGCTATCCCCAACACCATCTCGCCCACCCTTCCCTTCCACCCGATAGGGCCAGATGGGCCGCTTCAGCGGGGGGTCGGACCCAGGCCACGCCCGCGCCGAGGCAGTTGAGACATTCGTGCCCTGGCCTCTCATCAGGCCTCCCTTCTCGCTCCTTGTGTTTCGCTCGACGCTCCTCGCTCCTCGCCGCCTTTCCCCACTCCTCGCCCTTTTTTGTTTATTAGCCTTTCTGTCGTTCTATCTCTCTGTGTTTTCTATATATAAATATATATATATATATATATATGTATATATATATGTGCCTCTCTCGTTATGTCATTATCTCTCTCTCTCTCTCTCTTTCCCTCCCTCTCTCTCTCTCTCTCTCTGTCCTCGCTCCTGGCTCCTCTCTTCTCACTCCTCCTCGCTCCTCCACCTTTCTCCTGTTCCCTCGCTTCTCCCTCCTGGCTACTGGCGTCTGCCTCGCCCTTCCTCGTCGGCTCTCCTTCATCCTTCCTCGCCTCTCTCTTTCCTCGGCCGTCGCTCCTCCCTTCTCGGTCCTTGCTCCTCGCTGATCGCTCATCGTTTTCCCCAACTCCCCCCTTGACCCTGACCCCTCGCTCCTTGCTCCTCCCTCCTCAGTCCACTCACAGGCTGCAGGTTGCGTCAGCTAGCAAGGGCACCAAGAAGCAGCACTCTGCAGCCTCAAGAAAGTGAGCAGCAGCACCATCAACATGCCACATGCAGCAGCACCCTGCAGCTGCAGGTAGCAACAGGAGAGGCGAAGCCTGACCAAACGTCATCACAGCAGCCTTCCTGCAACATCTTTGCCCTGACCGAACGTGCCATCTCGGACAGATTTCGTGGTCAACAGGCCATGGGTCAGCACTAGTCAGCTACAGCGCTGGGATGAGCGCGTGCGAGAAGGGCAATCAGTGGCTGCATGCTTTGGCGCTGCTCAGCGAGATGAGAGAGGCGAATTTGGAGCCCAACACCATCAGCTTCAACGCTGGGATCAGCGCGTGCGAGAAGGGCGAGCAGTGGCAGCTGGCCATGGCGCTGATGAGCGAGATGCGAGAGGCGAATTTGGAACCCAACCTCATCAGCTTCAACGCCGGGATCAGCGCGTGCAGAAAAGGCAATCAATGGCAGCGTGCGGTGGCGCTGTTCAGCGAAATGCGGGAGGTGAATGTGGAACCCAACGTCATATCTCTGATCATGCTGGAACCAACGCGTGCGGGAAAGGCGCAGTGTGGCAGCCTGGCAAACGGGCCTGCGGGGCCAGACCACCCCTGGAGACTCCCAGGACGACCCCAGAGGGCCCCATAACGGCCGCAGAGAGGGCTCCAGGGATCCCCAGAGGGCCCCAACACGGTCGAAGAGGCCCTAGGAAGGGTTGCCGGGTGCAGCAGAAGCCCGAAGAGAGGATCGCAGAGGCGCCAAGAGAGGTCCCAGACAAAGTGTTTCAGGAGCGAGTCTCGCGGCCCTGGAGTCGCCCAAGGGAGCCCTAAGGGGGTCCCAGAGTGCTCCAGGAAGCTTTCAAGAGGGCCCGAGAGGGCCCCAATCCTCCTCCTCCTCCTCCTCCTCCTCCTCCTCCTCCTCCTCCTCCTCCTCCTCTCCTCCTCCTCCTCCCTCTTCCTCCTCCTCCTCCTCCTCCTCCTCCTCCTCCTCCTCCTCCTCCTCCCCTCCCCCTCTCCTTCTCCTCCTCCTCCTCCTCCTCCTCCTCCTCCTCCTCCTCCTCCTCCTCCTCCTCCTCCTCCTCCTCCTCCTCCTAGCATCCAGGGCAGCCCCAGGACAACCCAAGGCAGTCCCGAGACGACCCGGCGGGGCTCCCAGCGGCGACCCTTCAGCACGGTGCAGGACAGCCCAAGGTGGCCCAAGAGCTCCGAGGCGCTCCATGTCTATCTATATGTCAGTATATCAATCAATCAATCAATCAACCAATCAATACATCAATCAACATATATATATATATATATATATGTGTATGTACACATATAAACATATAGGTATTATCCATAAATATGTATCTTTGTCCCTATATATGTATATATCTACCGATCGGAGGCTGGAAGGTGTGAACGGAGGTGACCCCAACCCGGAAATCGATTTTGGTTTCGGTTCGTGTCGCGCGTACAAGCGAGGCGAAGCTGCGCAAGTTCCTGCAGTTGTAGAGGCAACATGGAGCCCAAAAGGTCGCCCGCCCCCCCTGCCCCCCTCCGGCCATGCGTGGCCCCCGATGGTTGTCCCGCGGATTGTCCCGATGGTTGTCCCGATGGTTGTCCCGATGGTTGTCCCGATTGTTGTCCCGATGGCTGTCCCGATGGTTGTCCCGATGGTTGTCCCGATGGTTGTCCCGATGGTTGCCCCGATGGTTGTCCCGATGGTTGTCCCGATGGTTTTCCCTATGGTTGTACCGATGGTTGTCCCGCTGGTTCTTCCGCTGGTTGTCCCGATGGTTGTCCCGATGGTTGCCCCGATGGTTGTTCCCGATGGTTGCCCCGATGGTTGTCCCGACGGTTGTCTTGATGGTTGTCCTGATGGTTGTCCCGATGGTTGTCCCGATGGTTGCCCCGATGGTTCTTCCCGATGGTTGTCCCGATGGTTGCCCCGATGGTTGTCCCGACGGTTGTCTTGATGGTTGTCCCGATGGTTGTCCCGATGGTTGCCCCGATGGTTGTCCCGATGGTTGTCCCGACGGTTGACCCGATAGAGAGGTCGATAGATCGACCCGGAAGTAGATGGTATTGATTTGCCCGCGAAATTCTTTGGTGGCGGCAGGTGGGAGCCATCGCACATCGACCGCCTCCTCCTTCCCCCCCAACCCTCCCCATCACCCGTAGGGTGGTCCTATCGGTGTATATATATATAGATATATATATATACATGTGTGCATCTATGTGTATATACATACCTATATCTCTCCCGATGCATATATATAGCTATATATCCATATAAATACCCTGGGATACATATATATGTATGTATGTATGTATGTATGTATGTATGTATGGATGGATGTATGTATGTATGTATGTATGTATACACATATATACGAATGTGTATATGTATATATATATATATATATATATTGAATTATTATGTATCTATATATCTATATCTTTCAAGCATCGGGACAACCATCGGGATAACCATCGGGACAACCACCAGGACAACATCTATATATATATATTTCTGGCTATACGATCAACCATCGGAACAACCATCGGGACAATCATCGGGACAACCATCGGGACAACCATCGGGACAATCATCGGGACAACCATCGGAGCAACCATCGGGACAACCATCGGGGCAACCATCAGGACAACCGCAACCATCGTGACAACCGCCGGGACAACCGCCAGAACAACCGGGGGCCACGCCTGGCGCTCGGGGGGCGGCCTTTTCGGCAAAAGGATGGAACTCGCGCAGTTTCGCCTCGCCCGCACGTACGACACGAAGCGAAACCGAAACCGATTTCCTGGTTGGGGTCACTTCCGTTCCAACCCCCGAACCTCCGATTTGCAATATTCTTTGCTCCCCTCGTCTTATTAGCCCAAGACGGTCCTAAGATTGATTGTGTCATCGATCGGCCGTGGGTTTTCATCCACGGAACACCAAACTCAGCAACTTAGCTCCAGTCGGCGAGTGCGATAAAAGCGAGCGTGGCACGTCGGTGTCATTGTTGCTCAGCGACTCGAGGGGAACGACACGATTAGTTAGCGACTTGAGAGGCCGGACAAGCTGGCTGACGTGGACGGAGTCCCTGATTCAACCTCAGTCATAGTCATCAGCTACAACGCTGGGATCAGCGCGTGCAAGGGCGAGCAGTGGCAGCGGGCCTTGGCGCTGCTCAACGAGATGCGGGAGGCGAAGCTGGAGCCCGACGTGGTAAGCTTCAACGGTGGGATCAGCGCGTGCAAGGGTGAGCAGTGGCAGCGGGCTTTGACGCTGCTCAGCGAGATGCGGGAGGCGAAGCTGGATCCCGACGTCATTAGCTACGGCACTGGGATCATCGCGTGCAAGGGCGAGCAGTGGCAGCGGGCTTTGACGCTGCTCAGCGAGATGCGGGAGGCGAAGCTGGATCCCAACGTCATCAGCTACAACGGTGGAATCAGCGCGTTGGGAAATGGCGATCAGTGGCAGCGGGCTTTGTCGCTGCTCACTGAGATGTGGGAAGCAAATGTGGAGCCCGACGTCATCATCATCATCAGCATCATCATCATCATCATCATCATCATCATCATCAGCATCAGTATCAGCATCAGCATCAGCATCAGCAGCAGCATCATCATCGTCATCATGAACATAATCAGCATCATCACCATTATCATCATCAGAGTCAGAATCATCCTCGGCATCATCATCACCATCATCACAATCATCAGCATCCTTATCATCACCACCAACATCATCAACATCATCAACATCCTCAGACTCATCCGCATCATCATCGCCCTCATCATCATCAACAACATCAACATAAACATCAGCATCAGTTTCAGCATCATCATCATTTCCATGTTCATAAGCATCAGCATCATCATCATCATCATCATCATCATCATCATCATCATCAGCATCGTCATCATCGTCGTCGCCGTCCGCGTTGTCATCATCAGCAGCAGCATCATCTTCATCATCAGCATCGTCAGCAGCATCAACATCAGCATCACCAGCATCATCATTAGCAGCATCATCAACATCAGCAGCATCAGCATCATCAACATCAACATCAACGTCAACATCAACAACTTCATCTTCATCACCTCCACAATCTGGGGCTTGTGCGCGAGGAAAACGCCCCTGTCCCGAGTGCACTTTCGAGACTCTCAAATGTCCCCGCAGGCCCCTTGGCAGCACAGAGGCCCCCGGAGGGCCTTTGGAGCTCGCGCTGAAGGTCTCAGGGGCCCGCTGCAGCTTTGACGTCGGTCAAAAGCGACCCCCTAAGGCGCTAGTACGCGTCGAGCAGGCCCCACCAGAGGCCCCCAAGCGGCTCCGTTGTGGCTCCGCGCAGCCCCCGTGCCGAGAGGCGAAAATTGTAAATAGCATGGCGAAAATCGTAAATATCATATCGCTGTTTTCACGTTTCCCGAACTCCATCAATTTCCACTCCACCTGGCTCTGAGCGCCCAATCCAAGTCAATTCTGCTCAATTCCGCTCCATCTGGTTATGAGCTCCATCAATTTCCGCTCAATTTCCCGAATTCCATCAATTTCCGTTTGAGGTTCAACACAGTCGCGCCCGATTCTGGGCCGAGCATTGATTCGATCGGATTGCCTGCTTGCATGGCTCTGAGATGGGTGCCAGAGGCTTACTTGTCGGCACAGGCAGTCGCAAGAGTGCACAGGAGGACCGAAGACGCCACCAGTGGAGTCCAGGAGGATCATTGAATGTTTTCTCATATGGCTCCCAGACGGCTCCAAGACGGCCCAAGACCGCACCAAGACTGCCCCAACACCCCCAGGCAGCCGCCAAACCCCCGAGAGACCCCCGCGAGACCCCAGAGGGCTTCAAAATAGCCTCCCATGAGGGTCCTTCCGAGAATCCCGAGATGGCTCCAGAAAGCACTCCACTCCCCACCAGCGGTCGGCGTATGCACCAAGGCTGGTAGGCCACGGGTCAGCCCGAGTCGACCTTGCAATGCGGGAGCCCGCGCGTGCGAAGAGAGCTCCTGCCCCGAGTATGTGTTGGGGCCCTCGGAGCCCGAAAACCGTTCCCGACTCCTCTTGTCTGGACGCCCGAAATGGGTACGGAAAGAATGGGTACAATGCCCAACAGCGGATCTTGTTCATTCTGAACAGGACCCGCTGTCCACGCCGCCGCGGCCTGTGTCCTTTCGGGACAGAAGGCCGCCTGCCCAACAGCGGCCGCTGTTGGTTTGGGACAACATTTGCTGTTGGGCATTGCACCCATTCTTTCCGTTCCCATTTCGGGCGTCCAAATCTTGGAGCAGTCCTGACGGCCCCAGACGGCTCCAGAGCGCTCTCAAGACGCTCTTTTCTGGCCCGGCGGGCTCTCGAAGGGTTCTGCGACGGCCTCGAACAGCCCCCCACAGAGCCCCCAGGACGCCCCAGGACGACGCCGAGGTGGCTTCGCCGAGGGCCCCCGGCAGGCGAACACAGCGAAACGACCTAAAAGGGTTTCATTGTACTGAGGTTCTGTGAGTTTTCGCGACTTCCCACGTTTCCCTTCCAGATCGGTCCTCCAAGGGCCCGAGGCACTCCAAGAGGGCGCAAGAGACCCACAAGAGCCCCCAGTAAGGCCCAAGACGCCCCCAAGAGGACCCAGAATGAGCCCAGCCAGCCTCCACGATGGCCCCGAGACGGCCCCGGACCGCCCCAAGATGGCTCCAGGGAGCCCCCCGAGAGCCGCGTGACACCCCCGCAGCAGCGCCCAGTGGCCCCAAGAGGGACGCCCAGATGGCCCCAGAAGGCGCGGGACGGCCCCGAGGGAGCCCCATAAGCCCCAAGTCAGGAGGGGAAGATAGAAACAGACAAAATCATTCGTCGATCGCTAGAAAATATCGGAAAGTGTGGGAAGTGAGGGGGAAGACAAAGACCCATAAGATATGGGAAAGTAGGGGGAATGTGGTTCTGCGTGTGTATTTATTTTGTGTGTCCCAGGGGCCCCTTCACCAAGGGGCGCACCAAACGAAGCCCCGAGGGAAGGAGGAGGAGGAGGAGGAGGGGGAGGAGGAGGAGGAGGAGGAGGAGAGGAGGAAGGAGGAGGAGGAGGAGGAAGGAGCAGGAAGGAGGAGGAAGGAGAGGAGGAGGAAGGAGGAGGAGCAGGAGGAAGGAGGGAGGAGGAGGAGGAGGAGGAGCAGGAGGAGCAGGGCGAGGAGGAGGGCGCGCGTGGCCCCGCCGCCCCGTGCGCGGTGGCCTCCTCGCGCGCGGCCCGCGCGCGAGGCAGGCCCCTCGCCGCGGGCGCGAGGGGCGCGCAGCAGCAGCGAGGCCCCCGCGCGCCCGCGGGTGCCCCCGGAGGGCCCCTCCTCCTCTTCCTCCTCCTCCTCCTCCTCCTCCTCCTCCTCCTCCTCCTCCTCCTCCTCCCCCTCCTCCTCCTCCTCCTCCTCCCCCTCCTCCTCCTGCTCCTCTTCCTCCTCCTCCTCCTCCCCTCCTCCTCTCTCCTCCTCCTCCTCCTCCTCCCCAGCCAGCCTCAGGTCGGGCCTGTCCCCCTGCGCGGGGGGATCTTGGACGACGAATAGAACAGATGCAACAAAAATAATCCAGAGGATGCCCCTAAAAATGCTCGAAAAATGGTCCCCGTATTGTGTGTTGCTCTATGTTTGGAGATATCCCCCTGTAGAGGGACGGGCGCGACTTAAAGCCAGCCTCGGACGGCCCCAGGGCAGCTCCGATGCGCTCCAGGAGGCGCCAGGACGGCCCAGGGGAACCCCAAGCAGGCTCCGGAAACCGGCCTACGCGGGCCCCGACGGCCAGCCCAGGAGACTCCACAGACCGCCCACGAGGACCCCGATAGCGCCAGAGTCGAGCCCAAGTCGTAGTCTTTGGATCCATTCCACGTTCTCGCCATCTTGGGCCCCGAACGGCCCCCCACACGGCTCCAGGCAAGGTCCCTTAAAGATCGCCCCAAGACGGCCCAAGAGGCCCCGAACAGGGCATCAAGACGGCCCAAACGACCCAAGAGAGGCTCCACACGGCCTAATTGAGCCTCCAGTGGCCCTCCAAGATAATCCCAAGAGGGCCCCAGGAGTTGTCCAAGAGGGCCCAAAGAGGGCTCCAAGACGGCCCCAGACCCAGCATTGCCTCAAGACGGCCCAAGAGGCCCCCGAGACGGCCCAAGAGGGCCCCAAAATGGCGTAAGAGGGCCCCAAGAGCTGGCAAAGAAGGACCACTCCGAGGTGCTCTAGGGCCCTCCAACAGACTCCGACAGCTGCCAAGGAGCACCAAGAGAGCTTCCAGCCCCAGCACCTTTCGCCGTTATTTCGCCGTTTCTGAATCCTCGGACGCCCCAAAGAAAGTGAAAGACCCCACGAAGGCCCCAGACCACTCCTTGACGCCCGAGATTCTGATTGTTGCCCAAAAGCACCCACGAAGTCCTCAAGCCCCGGCAACTTCTGTTGTTTCTGGATGCCCCGACGCCCCGAAGAAAACCCCGAACCCAAAACAACGCCCTAGAAAGTCCCTCCTCCTGTCCTCTTCCCGTCTGTTCCTGCGTCCACTCCTCTTCCTCCTCTTCCTCCTCCTCCTCCTCCTCCTCCTCCTCCTCCTCCTCCTCCTCCTCATTAGCATCATCATCACAATCATCATCATCATCATCAGCATCAGCATCAGCATCAGCATCATCATCAGCATCAGCATCAGCATCAGCATCAGCATCATCATCATCATCATCATCATCATCATCATCATCATCATCATCATCATCATCATCATCGTCATCGTCATCGTCATCGTCATCGTCATCCTCTTTGGTGCATCCACGCCCCTTTCTGGCTGTCCTCCTTATGGTCGCCTTGCGTCCTCTCCTCCTCTCCTCCTTGCACACACCAGCAAGCCTCTCCCCCCCAAAGGGCATTGGTGGTGACAGGGGAGACCTCCACGACAGTAGCCCCAAATACAGCACCAGACCCCCAAGCAGTGCCGAGGAAACTCTTCTCCCCGTTCTCTCTCCTCCTCCGCCTCCTCCTCCTCTTCCTCCTCCTCCTCCTCCTCCTCCTCCTCCTCCTCCTCCTCTGCCTCGGGGAGCCTCCACCCCCTACCCACTCTCTCTGGTACAGGTTTCCCTGTCCTTGTTCTCTTCGCGTCGGCGACATCTGCGCGCTCGGGATCCACAACTCGACCTGCCTGCCGTGGATATTCCACGGGTGCGCACTAGTCTCTTACAACGCTGGGATCAGCGCGTGCGAGAAAGGCCGGCAGTGGCAGCGGGCTTTGGCGCTGCTCAGCGAGATGCGGGAGGCGAAGCTGAAGCCCGTCGCCATCGCATCTACAATACCGGGGCACATGCGTGAGAGAAGGGTGTGGGCAGCGAGTGGGGGCAGGAGCTCTGGGCCGCACCCGGAGAGCCTCTGAGGGCGCCCGAAAAGGCTCCACGGAGCTCCAGATGCCTTCGAAACGCCCAGGACGGCTTCAAAACAGCTCCAGGTGGTCCGAAAGGCGCCCCAGGACGGCCCATCAGGGAACCGAGACGGCGGCTCAAGAGAGCTCCAAGAGGCTCTCCAAGAAGTCCCGGATAGGTCAAACACGTTAATTTCCATAGGTTTTGAATGGTTTCGGCGTTCTCGCCTTTTCGGGCTTCCTTCCCGTGCTCCAGGACGGTCCAAGAGGCCCCACTATCGTCCCAAGGCGGCCCCCCAGGTCCCCAAGAGGGCCCCCAGACAGCCCAAGAGGGCCCCCAAGACGGCCCAAAAGGCCCCCGAGACAGCCCATCACGGTCCCAAAATGGACCCAAGAGGATCCCAAGAGGGGGATTTAGAATTGGCATCTTGCGCCCTTCGCCCGAAGATTGCGCCCGAGACCGCCGGCAGGCCCCCGAGAGCTGCCCCAGAAGCCCCAGCAGGCCCACCAGAGTAACCGAGCGCGTTCCTCTATTCGCAATATGCCTACTCGCAAACGTCCGAACGAAACAGGTCTTCCTATATGTAATTCCACAATCAGTGCTTGCGCTGAAGGGGTCCCAGCGGAAGTTGAGAGACTTGGCAAAAGTCTCCCGCCGATGTTGGCAGCAGGCGGGGTTCCCGGGTTCCGGGTTCCCGGGCTCCCGGCTCTTGGCTCCGCGCCGCTTTCGGTGGGTTCTGGGTTCCCGGACGCCTGGGCTCCCGGTCGATCTCCTCAGCGAAAATCATCCACGGATTGGGGTTTTTCTCCAGTGTAATTTTTTTTTTGCTGCCCCCCCCCCTCCCTCCCTCCTGTCCTTCTCCCCTCCTGTCCTTCTCCCCTTCTCCCCTTCTCTCCCTCGTCCTTGGGGTTTTTCTCTGGTGTAATGGATCGTAAACGCCCCGCGGCAGATCCAGGCCATCTGCGAGTAGTTACTTCGCGAGTGGCGGAACGCGCTCGTCTGAGAGGCCCAAGTCAGGCCCCAAGAGGCCCCCAAGAGAGTCCAGAGAGGCCCCAAGACACCCCCAAAAACCGCCTCCAAGAGGCTGTCGAGGGAAGGTCCTTCAGAGAGCTCTGGGGTCGCGCCAGCCCCCAGTGAGCGACCCAGGAGGAGACCAGATGTTTTGCCACGAACGCCGCCGATGCCATTGAGACATTCGTTTGCTGGCCTCTTCTCAAGCCTCCCTCCTCTCTCCTTTCTCCACGCTCCGCGCTCCCAGCCGCTCTCTCGTCGCTCCTCGCCTATCTCTCCTTGCTCCCGGCTCCTCTCTTCTTCCTCCTCGCTCCCCCCACCTCTCTCCTGGCCCCTTCATTCTCCCTCTCGGCTGCTGACGCCTGCCTGCCCCCTCCTTCTTCGGTCGCCGCTTTTTTTCTATACATATATGTATATATATACAAATATATATATATATATATATATATATATATATATATATGTATATATATTTCTCTCTCCGCGGCCGTTGCTCCTCACTTCTCGCTCCTTGCTCCTCGCTGGTCGCTCCTCGCTTCCTCCCCCTCCTCGACCCTTCCTCCTCGCTCCTCGCTCTTCGGTCCACTCACGAGCTGCAGGTTGCGTCAGCTGGCAAGGGCGCCAAGAAGCAGCACTATGCAGCCTCAACCAGCAACAGCGAACAGCAGCAACAGTCCGCAGCAAGCAGCGGCAACTCACAGCAGAAGGCAGCAGCAGCTGCATGCCGCAAGCAGCAGCACCCTCTGCAGGCGGCAACGTCATCACGAAAGTCTTTCGGCAATACCTCCGCCGTGGCCCAAAGTGACATCTCGGACAGAATTCGTGGATGGTAGGCCACGGGTCAGCCCTACTATTACCTCTCCTACATGGCGGGCAGAAGCGCGTGCCGGAAGGAAAAAATTCAATTATCCTGGCGAAGGACCCAACCATATGCAGTTGTGGGTACCGCAATTGTTAATATCTTCGTTGGTGGAGCTCCATGTGGGGCCACGAAGCGCTGCACTGGGTGGAGGGGGGCACATGAGGGCGGTAGCACTGGGGCCGTCGGTGGAGCTCCCTATGGGGCCACGAAACGCTGTACTGGGTGGGTGAAAATACCAAATCGGGCGTGTGGGACGCATGCGGACGGTCCCACTGGGAGCTTCGGTGGAGCTCCCTACGGGGCCACGAAACGTTTTACTGGGTGGTTGAAAATGCCAATTGGGCGTGTGGGACGCATGCGGGCGGTCCCACTGGGAGCTTCGGTGGAGCTCCCTATGGGGCCACGAAACGCTGGATTGGGTGGGTAAAAATGCCAAATTGGGCTTCCGGGACACATGCGCGCGGTCCCACCGGGGGCTTCGGTGGAGCTCCCTATGGGGCCACGAAGCGCTGTACTGGGTGGGTTGGGTTTTCGGGACGCATGCGGGCGGTCCCACTGGGGGCTTCGGTGGAGCTCGCTATTGGGCCACGAAACGCTGTACTGGGTTGGTGAGAATGCCAAATTGGGCGTGTGGGACGCACGCCGGCGGTCCCATTCGGGGCTTCGGTGGTGCTCCCTTTGAGGCCACGAAGCGTTGTATTGTGTGGGTGAAAATGCCGTGTGGGACGCATGCGGGCGGCCCCACTTGGGGCCTTCAGTGGGCCACGAAAAACGCTCTACTAGGTGGGCGAAAATGCGAAATTTGGCTTTCGGGGTGCATGCGAACGGCCCCACTGGGGGCTTCGGTGGACCTCCTTATGGGACCACGAAACGCTGTACTGGGTGGGCGAAAATGCCAAGTTGGGCTTTCGGGACACATGCAGACGGTAGCACTGAGACCGTCGGTGGAGCTCCGTATGGGGCCACGAAACGCTGTACTGGGTGGTTGAAAATGCCAATTGGGTGTGTGGGGCGCGTGCGGACGGTACCACTGGGGATTTCGGTGGAGCTCCCTTTGAGGCCACGAAACGTTGTACTGGGTAGTTGAGAATGCCAAATTGGGTGTGTGGGACGCATGCGGACGGTCCCACTGGGGGCTGCGGTGGAGCTCCAATGGGGCCACGAGGCGCTTTATCGGGTTGGTGAAAATGCCAAATCGGATTTGGTTTTCGGGACGCATGCGGGCGGTCCCACTGGGGGCTTCGGTGGAGCTCGCTATGGGGCCACGAAACGCTGTACTGGGCTGGTGAGAATGCCAAATTGGGTGTGCGGTACGCATGCGGACGGTGGCACTGGGGCCTTCGGTAGAGCTCCCTATGGGGCCACGAAACGTGGGAGGGGTGTACCAAACTGTGTTTCCAGGACGCATGTGGGCGGTGGCACTGGGGCCTTCGGTGGAGTTCCCTATGGGGCCATGAAACGTTGTACTGGGTGGGTGAAACGCAGAGAGGAGGGGCAGGAGGGGGAGGGAGGAAGGAGGAGGAACGCGGGGCCCGTCTCTTCAAAACGAGGACCCAACACCACAGGATGGTTGGGAAATCTCCGTAGAGCCTCTGGCGGGGCCCCACGCGCTCCCGGGCGCGCCCCGGTGCGCCTCGGGGCGGCTCCAGCGCGAGTCAGCCGGAAGGAAAAATGCGAATATCAGTAGAGCCTTCCGGCGGGGCCCCACGCGCTCCCAGACGCGCCTCGGGCGCGCCTCGGGGCGGCTCCAGCGCGCGCCAGAGCTCTTCCAGGGAGCGCCGAGGTGGGCCCCAGACGTCCCCGAGACGGTTTCAGGACGTGCAGGCGTGCTTCCAGGCGGCCTCAGGGAGGCCTCCAAGCCCTTCCAAGAGGCGTCCAAGAGGGCTTCCAGAAGCAAAGGCCGCCCCAATCACCAGGGAAAACGCACTATTTTAACAGATTCGCTTTCCTCGCTCACGGAGCCCACGACGGCCATACAGGCCCCCAAGATCGCCCCAAGAGGGCCTCCATGGGGGCCCCACCCAGGACGGTCCAAGGCGGTCCCAGGACAGTCCAAGAGGCGCCCAGGACAGAGCGACCCAAGACGGGCGCGAGACAGCCCTAGAGGCGCCCAAGAACGCCCGAAACGGCTTAAGACGGCCTAAGACGGCCCAAGGGGCGCCCAAGACGGCCCCAAGAGGCCCACAAGGACCCAAATGAGGCCCCAAGATGCCTCCAAGCGGCCCCCAACAGGCCCAAAGAGGCTTCCAAACTGCCTCCAAGAGCGGAGAGGCAGGCAGACGAGAGACGTGAGGCCCCTCGCAGGCCTCGAGGAGCACTTCTTAATGTTCTCGGGGCCCTGGAGGCTTCTCTTCAGGGGGGGCGTTGTCGTAGGATCCATGATTGACGATCGACGATCGAGGGGATGAAGGATCGATGGCAGGAGGAGGAGGAGGAGGAGGAGGAGGAGGAGGAGGAGGAGGAGGAGGAGGAGAGGATCCAGAAGGCAGGCCGACGTCTGGGCGGGACGGATTTAAACTGCCATTCTGCCGACCCCGTGTGGGTCGCCATGCCATGTTCTGTTGTTCCGAGCTATGGGGCGATGCGCCACGTTACGTGGAGTCATCCTATATTCCGTGGTCATATGCTGCGCCATCCACAGCCCCCAACAGAGCACGCAAAAGGCTCTGAAACACCCCTTAGGATGTTTCAGCGGTCCAAGACGGCCCCAGGATAGCCCCACACGGTACAGGACGGACCCAGGATGGCCCAAGACGGGCCCACGTTGGCCCCAGATTGTCCAAGACGGCCCCAGGATGGCACAAGACGGCGCCGAGATGGTCCAAAACGGCCAAGATGTTCCCAAGACGGCCCCAGCTGCAAACTCCCCCATTCTGCGGGGGGTGAGGTACGTAAGTAAAAGGGGCAACCTTGACCCCAGGGGCGCGGGTGGGGGCCCAGACCAGTCAGGGCGGAAGATACTCAAGACGGCCCCAAGATGGCCCCAGACGGTCCAAGACTCCCCCAGGATGGCCCAACACGGCGCCAAGATGGTCCAAAACGGGCCAAGATGCTCCGAGGACGGCCCCAGCTGCGGGCTCCCCCCCACACACAGACTCCGACGTCTGAGTGCGGCGCCGACTGACCTCCGACGACGCGCCCCGCGCAGGCGGCGGGCGCAGCTTGAACCCGCCGCCGCAGCCCACCGGACAGCCCTGGAGGGCGCCAAGGGCGCGGACCAGAGCACCAGAGGAAACCGAACCGGGACGGAAAAAACCTTTGGGCTAGGGCCGCGGGCACCGCCGGGCGGGCCGAGGATTTGATGGCCCCAAGGCGACCCATGACGGCCCCAGGACGGCTCCTGACCATCACCCCAAGAGGCATCCAGGACAGCCCCAAGAGCGGCCCAAGAGCCCAAGACAGCCCCAAGACGGTCCCAAGACCGCCCCATGAGGCGCCCAAGAAAGGCCCCTGACGGCCTCAAGACGGCCCAAGGGCCATTCGAGACAGCTCAAGAGAGCCCCAAGAGGGGCCCAGAAGGCCGCATGACGGCCACAAGATGGTCCACGACGTCCGGCCGCCGACGACGCCCGCAGGGAGCCCTGGAATGGCTCCAGACGGCCCTAGACACCCTCAAGGATAGCCCCAAGACGCCCCAGGAGCCTCCCGACGCCGCGACGGCTCCGACCCGAGCCCAACGAGGCCCACCAAGACCGCCACAGTGCGCGGCATGACCGCTCGAAGGCGAAATTTCACGCAGGGTCTGGGCCCGAGGCCGAGATTTATCGTGAGGGTCCCGCGCCCCCCGAGTCCGAGGACAAAACTGAACGCGAGCCTGGCGTGTTAGATTTTGTCCGCGGCTCCAGGGGTCCATCGCTGAGGCCTCCGGCCTGACGCGGACAGATTTAACACACTGCCAAGGCGTTAAATTTTGTCCCCAAGCTCTTCACGGCTCCAGGAGTGTCTCGGCGCCAGAAGGACTGGAGAAGCCAACGTGGCGCCTAACATAATTGAATGAGACTGGCGGCACTCCCCCTCCCCCCGCGAGTGGACGTAGTCCACGGGTCAGCCCTAGTCAGCTACAACGCTGCGATCAGCGCGTGCGAGAAGACCGAGCAGTGGCAGCGGGCTTTGGCGCTGCTCAGCGAGATGTGGGAGGCGAAGCTGGAGCCCGACGTCATCAGCTTCAACGCTGGGATCAGCGCGTGCGAGAAGGGCGGGCAGTGGCATTGGGCCTTTGCGCTATTCAGCGGGATGCGGGAGGCGAAGCTGGAGCCCGACATCATCAAGATGATTAGCCGGCCGCTCTGCGGTTGATCGGGAGTTGTTGCCTATAGAAGAAAGGGCGTGCACTTCTCGGCGAGAGAAATATGATCGAGATGAGAATGAGTGTTAGCATCAGCACGAGAAGAAGGGGGATCAGGAGAACGAGGAAGAGGAGGGCGAGGACCAGGATCGTGAAGCAGGAGGGCGAGGGTGAGGAGAGCGAGAATCAGAAGAGTCGGGAACATGAAGCCAAAGAGGCGCCTTGTCCACGACCAAGTTCGGCCCCA